ACACCGTTCCGTATGGTACCTGTGAGTTGGACTGAACTTCTGTCCTCAGAACGGCTTTGGGATGGACCCTTCCAGACATGGAAACAATAAAGGGTGATGACTGCCAGGCGTGCCAGGTGTCACGGTGTACCAACATGGAACCCACAGCTTAATTTTCCAGGTACATTAATCGTGATGCAAGCTGACATAAGGTAATATCAGTTGCCTCAAGGTGGGAATTCGGCAGTCAAGTGCCCACTGTAACTTGCACGCTGCCTGTTGCTCATACCTCAATCTGCTGCATAAGGTAGGTATCCGTAGATGCGAAGTACTGGGCCTGGTGGTGAGGCACTGAGCAGTTTCGCCAGCACGGACAGTCAGGAGCTGTCGGTCGGTCCACAGGCGCCTCTACCTGGGTCTGTAGCTAGTAGGTAGGTACGTAAGGAAGGAGATGGCAGGCCTGACGCGATCTGTTCCACCATGAGATACCTGTCCAATTCTGTACCCAAGGTAATGTAGGTAATCCATATTAATGCGACCTGTCGGCGAATCCCCGGTCTGGAGCACGAGCACCTCGAGATTCAAGAAGCTGTCTGTCACTTGCCGACCAGTCTGACTTAGGTAACTTACAAACCACATACCTTCCGCGCATACCTGCGAAAAGTAATGCCAAACGAGTCTTGGAGCTGTACCTTGCCATTCCGGACAGCGCGCACACGTTCAGCCGCCCTTGACAACTCCCGTTGACGTTTGTCCGCCCTTGCGTATTTGACAACCGACACCTATTACACTTCCGCGACTCGTCGGCACTCGTCACGTTGCGTCTTGCCCACGCCAATGGTGTCCTGTTCTCCCTTCACGACCCTCCGTTCATGACGACGACCCTGAGCGGCCCGCGCAGCGAGCGACAAAGGACCCCAGGCTGAGGAGTACTATCGCAGCTATCTGGCGTCCGCCATGTGGCGAGACCGCACGAACCTGTAAGCCTGTCCGCATGCGCTTCGCATCCCTCAAAGGCACCTGCGAAGCTGCTCGTCCCGTCTCTCGCTGACACCCAGCCTCCCGCGGCAGGTATATTTCCTATCGGCAAACGTATGCACACCATCCTACGAAACGCTCCAAATACGGTGGTGCAGCCGGTGGGAATGGCTTCGGCGATGCCTTTGGGGGTAGCAGCTATGCTAGTGGGAGCGACGATACCCGCGGCCTCCTCTCGGCTGGCGCCTTCGAGGACGATGGCGATGCCGTCATAGAGATGGATCTCCTTCCACCTCGCTGGGCCGATGTATCCGATGAGATCACCGACCTGCTGGCCGACATAGCCACCAGGAGTCAGGCTCTTGAGCGTTTACACCAGAAGCATGTGCTACCCGGTTTCAATGACGAGGACACCAAGAAGGCGGAGGAAAGAGAGATTGAGACTCTCACACAGCAAATCACCAAAGGTTTCCATGACTGCCATCGGTGCATTCAAAAGGTCGAACAAATGGTCAGGGAATCGAAACAGTCAGGTACTATTACCAGCGCCGAAGAGACGATGGCCAAGAACATACAGATATCGTTGGCTTCACGAGTCCAAGAAGCTAGCGCGCTGTTCAGAAAGAAGCAGAGCGCATATCTGAAAAGTAAGTGCGAGCTCTGGCACATTTCCCGTGACAGCCCATTGATAACAACACAGAACTACGCGGGATGAGCGGCCTCGGGGGCGGCGTGGCCAGTACGGATAGGGGATCAACACCGCAGCCCTCCAGCTCCTATATGGACCCCTCAATGCTTGAGTCGGACGCGGACAGGTCCTTTTCACAATCAACACTCCAGGCTACACAGCAAAAGCTCCTCCAATCGAATGACACAGCCATCACCCAGCGTGAACGTGAGATTGAGGATATTGCACAGGGTATCATTGAGCTGGCCGACATCTTCCGCGACCTGCAGAACATGGTGATCGACCAGGGCACCATGCTGGACAGGATAGACTACAACGTCGAGCGCATGGCCACAGACGTAAAGGGAGCCGAGAAGGAGCTGGTCGTTGCCGCCGGATACCAGAAGAAGACGACAAAGCGGAAGATTATACTGTTGCTCTTGATCATCATTGCGGGCTTAATCATCTTGCTAGTGATTAAACCCAAAAAGCATGGCGACGAGTAGGCGCTGGGAACGACATGTGGTGAGATGAGAGACGAGGTGTAAATTAAATGTATGATTTTCTCCTAGACAAACGTTGAGCGAATTTTTGTTCTCATCCTAAGTCGCGGTGCGTCCTCCCGCGTCGCTTACGGACGACGTCCACAATCAGTCCTTCCAGGACACTGATTTCAGGCATCAAACCCTGCCCTTTAGATTGACCGAGAGCTTCATTAATCTGTTTCCTCACAGCAGCCAGGTCGGTTAGTCTAATTGTTGCTTTCTTTCTTTGCGGATGAAGGAGGTGAGCTAAGAGTCTGATGACTTCGCGTCGAATGGCAGACTCCTGCAACAGTACACCGCGCTTCTGCAGCTGGCCAAGTAGCCGGACACCCCGCAGAATAACCAGCTTGTCGTCTCCCACTGATGTCGAGGCCGACTCCTGCGAGACGGAGCGTTTGAAACCCCATCGGGCTATGGCTACTTGTAACTTCGGATTTTCAAAGATTTTGTGCAAAGGGTGATAACCATGTGTGACGGGCAGATCTGCCGGGATGTGCAGCGCCCTCCTCGAGCCTAGAGCATTGCATGGCGGAGCATCCGCAGGGTGCACACCCAGCAACCCGCCCGGCACTGTGTGCCCATTTTGATATGCGTCGAGCAGACCAATACAGACACCTTCTACATCGTCGAATCGTCCGAATTTCCCCAACCCGAAAAGCACTTTTTGCCAGTAGCGTGCAGGCACAGGCGCCCGCAGCAGCATCAGATGGTTCAAGTAGTCGATGGCCGTTCGCAAGGACCCCCACGTGACAAATGCTATATCCGGATCCCAAGACAAGGGTTCCAGAATGTTGGAATAGATATGCTCAATAGACGTCGCGGAGAGATCGATGTCCATGGAACGCATGTCCCTCATTAGGGCAAGCGCGTGGCGGGCCTGGCCATGTTGAAGACTTTGCTGCAGCAGGAGGTTCGACGTGGTATCGATTGACTCTTGAGCAACTGCGGGCTGTATGGCGAGCAGCAAGTGATACGTCCTCATATTTTCCGCATGGAGAGCTTCGTCGCGGATGCTTCCGAGTGTGGCCAGATCGTCAAACACTTCCGGATGTATGTCGGTGTGTAGCAGCTCGTGGAGCAGCTCGTGCTGGGCGGTTTCTGCAAAATGTCTGACCGCCAGAGCGTAGGTCGAATGGCCGATGCCGATATTGACTTTGTGTAATTGTTCTATGCGGCCCATGACTGCATCGGGGGCGGGATCGCGCAGAGCAATAGACTGCAATGACAAAGGCCCGATTTGGCGCACTCCAAGAGCGTGGACGGCGTGAATTGCGAAGTCTAAAGGTAGCCAGGAGCTTGCAAACCAACGCGCGCCCAACGTATCGCTGTACCGCCTGCCCGTCGAGCTATGGTCTACCTCGTGCGTGCCGTCCATTACATCCAGCAGGGATTCACGCTGCATGCCCCAGCGCACCGATATACTCCCTTCCAGTACCAACTGTTCCTCCAACTTGAGAGGCGTGCCTGGGTAGTAACGAGTGAGAAATCTCAGGTAAGGCTCAGACTTGACGGTGTGATTTGGTACGTCGCCATAGAGAAGGAACAGGCCGCGCCACTCCGCGCAGAGCTGGGAGAGCCCGCTCTCATACAGCAAGGGGACAACGTCGTCATAGAGGCTGTGGTGGCAAGTCAAAACATACAGCGACTTCAAAGTCTGCTGCAAACCAGCCTCGGTGTTTGTAATGAATCGACAGAGCATGGTGCCGAAAGCTTCTGGGCCGGGGTCGAAGTTGGGCATCAGGCGCATGTGCCATCGCATCGCTCTTCGGTACTGGCCGTTGCGGAGGCATTGGGAGACAATTGTTGGATATAGGGACGGCCACCGGGCAGAGTGAGCCTCGAGCATCCACTCGGCGTACGAGACGACGCGCTGAAGTTGGCTCTCATCATCCATGAAAACCTCCAGAATCATCGCCCAGAGAGGCTCTGCGTCCTCGCCGTCTGCGGCGCGCAATGCCTTCCGGCTTTGAAGCACGTCCCATACGGCAAGCACGCCATCTTTGCCCTGCTCCCGCTTGGCGACGTTGAGCAGACCAAGCCACAGCGAAGCGTCAGTATTGTTGTCGATGGTGTCGCTTAGGTCAACCACACAGATATGCCCTCCACTTGCCGCCTGCCTCGTCTGGCCTCTCTGCGTTTCCGCCACTCGGGTGCCTGGGCATATCCCCAATGACAGCAAATGGTTCCGTGTTGTCGGCGCATCGGGTTTTGTGTGCAAGGTACGCTGTGCTGCAGGAAGCGAATTCCGCCGCGCGGAGTTGCACGTCACAGACTCTGAGACGGAAGGCTGGACACGAGAACCAGACTTACAAGGTCTGGCACTTGCCGTCCTCGGGAGATTTGAGAACGTTCGCCGGGTTGCATCCAGTCCTTGATATCGATGGCACCGGCCGAGGCGTGCTCTATTCAAGTGACGGAGACATTGTGAGGCCAATTGCATTGCCCTGCGTAGTGAACAACCAGGACGCGAGTACGAAGAGACGCTGCGTGAAGCATAGCAGCGGACAGATTATGGGGGTGCAGGTTTCGGTGCTGGCCGCATCTCGGAGCTGGGTAGTCGATTGAAAGATTGAATCTTGGAGAAAACTAACTTCTGCCAGAATATTGCCAACAGCTCCATCAGTAAACCGATTTGAGCTCCGTTCCATTCGTCGGCAGAGTGCGCGAAAGTGGGTCGGATTAGTCAGTCGGGCATTTCGGCCCACCAATCCAGGCTCATCATCCCATGTTCCTGATTGAACCGACCGTCTTCAAAGTCGATACCACGAGCAAGCCCACGACGACGCAACCCACCAATATCCCCCGCGAAACTCGCAACTGAATCGATCAAAATGGCGTACGTGAACACCCGCATCCCAGAAAGCTGGAGGTTGATTGCGTGCGAATCGTGATTGTCAATGGCTGCCCGCCGAGAAGCGCAAGGAACCATATCATACGAGGGCATTTCTGACGTCCGCACAGTCTCGTCAACGCGAAGAACAAGGTCCCGGAGCTCCAGAAGTTCTACCAGACCGCCTACAAGGAGCACAACCGCCTCTGGAAGATCGTACGTCAGGCTGGCGCAGTCCCACGCCCGCAATCCTCCCACGGTGGTCTACCAGCCGACTGACTCCATTATCGCAGAACCCTCGCAGCCGTGTCTACATGATCCCCTACACCGTCGCCCTCTGGGGCACCCTCGGCCGTACGTCTCCCTATTCAGTCCCCCTCCTGATCCCTCTGGTGATGTCGTGTTGCTTACACTCTACAGTCACCCTGTACGGTGGTGTCCGCAAGGTCCTCGGCTACAACAGCTACTTTGGCAAGAACTAGATGGAGCACATAAGCCTTCCTTTAGCAAGACCGTTGGGCAGATTGTATGATTCGTAAGCCGATCAATAGACCGAATCAACACTAGACAGCACATTTCTTCTGTTGCACGCGATGTAGAGTCGACGAACACAGTGACGTCGCAATCAAGTTTCATGACTATGCCTGTCAGAATTACCAAATGGCAACCTTTCCCTGCTCCATCTTTTTTTGGCAGAAAAGGTCGTCTAAAGTACACGTGCTCTGTAGCCTGCGTATGGTATCGAACCTCCACGCGCGGCTCCCACCCATTTTCGTCATTTCCCATTATGTCTAGTAACCACTAGCTCCGGGTGCCTTCTCATCCTTCTTGAGGCTGACCAAGATCTCGCGGAAGCGCTCCTTGCCAGAGCCAGAGGCGCCACCCTTGGCGCCCTTTCCACTAACGTCGACCAGCTTTGCGATTCTCTCCCAGCTGGTTCCCCCAGAGACGGTATCCTCGCGACTGGCTAGGAACTGCTCTGCCTCCTTCCGTGCCTGGGAGATCTGCTTCTCCTTCTTGGCGTTGTAGTTGTTGTAAAAATCGTCAATATTCTCTCTGGCCTCCTTGACAGTCTCCTCGCGCTGCGCCGCGAACTGCTCCGCACGCTTCTCGATCTGGGCGTCTCGTTTCTCGCGCCATTCACGAATGACAGCGGGCTCCTCCTCTTCTTCGACGTAGGCGCTGTAGCCAGAGTTGTAGTTTACGCTGGAGGCGGTGATGCCGCCACCAGGGATGGCACCGGGGGCAACGGCCTGTTGGAGGGCTGTCAGTGAACGCAAACGCGGCCGGAACGAAGATGCAAACCTCGTTCTGGTTGGCGAGGTCGGGAAACTGCGACTCGAATGTGGACTCCTCTGCGATGACATTGCTGCTGCCGCCTCCACCGAGAAGATCATCGTCGCCGGGACCGAATGCGACGGCATCATCGCTCGTGGCGAACTGGTTGGCATCCTCGCCAAGGAGGGCCTTTTCGCGGGCCAGGAAGTCGTCGGCAGAGGGGGAGGCACCCGAGTCCTTGATGTCGGTCTGGGCTACGTGAGGATGTTAGACCTGGCATCAGTACCCTGAGTCTTCACGTACCACCCGAATCAAAGTCCTCCAGCGAGGGGAATCTGTCGGCCATTTTGGTGGTGTTGTATGTAAATAGAAAGGAAAAGGAGAAGGATGGTAGTAGTTGTGAGAGTCGCCGTCAGCAACTCAGATGTATTCGCAGCAAGTCTCACGGTAAAATCGCCCAAGATTCCGTTGATTCGAGGTCGTTTCGTTGGTTCGGGTGGGAGATGTCGACGTGGTAGGAGCGAAGGTGCGAAATGATAGGTAGGTAAGTAGGTACTTGACAGGTGACGCTACCTTGGTCAGGAGCGGTGATTGCCGTGTGCAGCATTCGGAGCTCTGCCCATCGGATAGTTGAATGTACCTTGAAAGGTACCTGCGTTGTGTCATCAGGGAAGTCCGTGCTGCGTCGTGGCTGGAGTCCAGTCACAGCCTTTACCTGCATAACCCCGGTACCGCGAATCGGATTTCTATTAAGGTAAGAGCAATCCGTCTGAGCCAGGAGCAAATGTTTTGATCCATCTTGACCTTTGAACTGATGCTCATACATTTCATTTCTCTTTCACCCGGCAAAACATTCAATTCATCTCAGAAAAGGAAGCATTTGATAGGTCTGCAGTCTCTCACTCGCGCCATTCGCTTTCGTCGTTCAAAAGACGCCTGATGTGCTGAACCGGACACTTTGCGCAAGCAGGGTGTTTGCTGCTGGAGTTTCAGCCCCCAGTGATTGATCGTAGACCTCTTGCGCCTGCTGTGGTTCTTCTCACTCTGGAGCACCCCAATCCTGCGCATCAAGACCCAAACCGCAGGTAGTGCCATAAGGTGCCCTCCACGGGAATCAATCGCCAACCGCCATCCAACGGAGCCCAGGGTTACTCGGATTGGCGACGTCGCGTCCGCAGAGCTCACTGCGCGTCCTCATCCCGTCTCATTCGCAGCCTAAACGCGATTTACCTGAGCAGTAATGGCATACAACGACGACGCCGTGCTGGCGAAGCTGTCGGCACTGAATGAGAGTCACGACAGTATCGCCACGGCAGCTCAATGGATCATGTTCCACAAGTAAGCTTTCTGGCTCCAGCTTGGTAACAATGATGGCACTGACACGACAACTCGTAGGAGGCATGCGGATCGCACAGTCCAGCTCTGGCTTCAACGTTTGCGGGACTCGTCAAGCACAAAACGGCTGAGCCTGATCTACCTTGCCAACGGTAAGCAGATGCTGGTCCGCCGCCTTGCCTTATTCTCGCTAACACGCCACAGAGGTGACCCAACAGTCAAAGGCGCGGCACAAGGAAGACTTTTTAGTCGCCTTCTCTCCCGTCGTCGCTGAAGCTACGGCATTGGCGTACAAGGGCGCGCCGGCCGAGATTCAGAACAAGATTAGAAGAGTCGTGGATGTCTGGAAGGACCGCTTCATTTTCGAACCCCCCATCCAGCAAGCCATCGAAGCGCGCATCGACGGTACGTCCATCAACGGCCGCTCAAGGGTCATACTAACATGTATCAGAGCTCGACAAGGCCCGTGGAACCGCGAAGGCAAGCTTTGGAGGGCCTGGCATCGGTGGCGGACCTTCAGTCCCAGCGGAGCTCATCCCGGTCGTAACCTCGTACCAGAATGCTTCGAAGCTCAACCTGCCCACGAAGACAGCCATCAGCACCGCCAACCAGGATTTTGAGAAGCTCACCGACCCGTCCACGCCAGTTCCCTCGGCGCCTGTCTATGCCGCACGCCTGAATGGTCTGCTCAAGAGTCTGGCAAGCGCAGAGGGTGCCGTTGCCGAGTGCGTCAAGGCCCGCAAGGATCTCATTGGCGAGTTGGAGAAGCTTCTAAGCGCGAACCAGGAGGCGCTTGTCAATGACGAGAAACAGTACGCCGAACTAACGAAGCGAAAGGCGGAGACTGAGGAGAAGAGACGTGAGGTCGAGCTCGCTATTATGCGTGGACTGCCAACACATGAGGCCTCTCAGTCGCCGGGCAACGGAACATCTGCGAGTCCAGAACCAGAGAGACCAGAGGTAGAAGCGCTCACGCCTCCACCGGTTGAAGCTTTCACGCCGCCTAGCGTGGAAGCGTTGACCCCTCCCCCGATCCACGATGAGCCGCCTGTTCTCCGAGAAGGTGAGGCAGATCGCGTGCGATCGGCGTCAAGCCAGGCTTTCCAGCCGCCTCCCGCTACTGGCATCGAGATGCTTTCGAACCTGGCTTCTCAGTATCAGTCCATTCCGGTATCAGCAAACGGATCTAACAAGAGGCGCCGGCTAGACGGGGACGATTTCCCTGACCTTGGGGGAGACGACGGAATCGACGCCGATGTGGCAGAGATGCTCCGCAAGGACAGCAACGCCACAGCTTAAGAAATGTCGCTGGGGACTTTATCTGACACGCTTTAATGCAGAACATTTGGGGTAGTCAGAGGAGCATGTAATGTTAGGAGGTACTTTAGAGAGCGGCCGGAAGGCGTCTTGGTTTATATGGCCGTGACCAAAGACTGGGCTGATTTGAAGTCATTCACGGTATAGTTATTCGGTTTTGAAGTAACATCATCATCCTAGTCAGCAGGCTACGGCAACGCTGGAGCATGCAGTGCATTGAGAGAGCTATGGGGCCGGCTGCACGCAGGCCCGACTTGGCGATCCCCCGGCTTGGGTCCTGCAGCATCGCACCACTTGTGAGAGCAACAGGGCTGAGTTTAATAAAAGTCAAATCAGTCGCGATTACAAAGAAGGACGCAAAAGAATGCGTGACGGAGCAAAGCGGATGAGGCCAGTGTGTCAATCACGCGGGTGCATCGTGAGGTTCGTACGGACTAACGCTTAGAGCTCTGTATTTCCGGCCTCGGCAGAAACGGAAGGCAACGGGGCGGGGAGGGCTTCGGCGAAGACACTGCCGGCCCGACTATCGCCGAGAGGCCCGGTTGCTGCAGGCTGCAGCGCGTGTCAGCAACCCCCCCTCCCCCCAGTGCATGGTAAATTTTGAACCAGACCGATGACGGAATCTTAAGCCTCTTCCAGCAGCCAGCTATGGCCGGATGCATGCGCAATTCGTTCAACCATTCCGTATGATGAAGCAGCCTTGTCCCGCACCTCCTAACTATGCGCCGCCCATGAGATAGACAAAAATCATTCCATACCATTTCGAAATGGCCACGGGGGCAGCGCGAACAGCGGTGCTGCTCCCGCACCGCGTCGGGTGCTGCAAAGCGGGCTCGCTGCTGGCGTCCATCCCCGGCCTGCGCAGCGCTTCGACGACGACGCCTTCAGTCATTCAACATCCACTCTTTTCGCCCGCCAGAAGCTACAGCTCGAAGCCCTCTGGGCAAATCATCACACCTTTGTGCGCCCGCGCTTTCGGTACCGGGTTACGACCGACAACATCCTCTCGAAACCCTCAAATCCCCATCTCCATCGCCGTTGTGCGCTATTTCTCGGCCGGATTACGCGCCCAGAAAGATATCCCCGCCCCGACAAAACTTGAAACAACAAAAGAAGACGAGCATGGCTCCAGACGGACTGAGCCGATGGAAAATCCGGAACATGACGACTTCCAGAAGAGCGAGAGAGCGGCCAAAGCGGCCCAGGTCAACCTGAGTGCGAAGCTGTCAAAGGAGGGCAAGACTCAGGGTAAGGCTGGATTCTCCGAGATCTGGCGATTGATCAAGATCGCGCGTCCGGAGCTGAGGTGGCTGGGGCTCGCCATGGTCTTCCTCGTGATTTCGTCCAGCGTCACCATGTCTATTCCCTTTTCCGTCGGCAGAATTCTCGACATCGCAACCAAGGACCCGTCAGAAGATGCCCGTTTGTTTGGTCTGACCATGCCACAGTTCTTCATGGCTCTGGGCACCATTCTGACGATCGGGGCCATGGCTAACTTTGGTAGGGTGATTCTTCTCCGCATCGTCGGCGAGAGAGTGGTCGCCCGGCTGCGATCCCAGCTGTACAGGAGAACCTACGTACAAGATGCCGAGTTCTTCGACGCGAATCGTGTGGGAGACCTCATCTCTCGCCTCAGCTCGGATACAGTCATTGTGGGCAAATCCATCACCCAGAACATCAGCGACGGTTTGAGAGCCTTGTTCAGCGGAGGTGCCGGCTTCGTGGTCATGGTTTGGTTGAGCCCGAAGCTCACCGGCCTTCTGCTCATTATGCTGCCGCCGGTCGCCGTCGGGGCCTTCTTCTACGGTCGTTCGATCAGGAACATCAGCAAGGGGATCCAGAAGAACCTGGGCACACTGACCAAAATCGCGGAGGAGCGTCTCGGGAACGTCAAGACCAGCCAAGCATTCGTCGGCGAGGTTCAAGAAGTCTCTCGGTACAACCGCCAGGTCAAGAAGATTTTCGCCCTCGGCAAGAGAGAGTCGACGGTCGCCGCGACGTTCTTCGCCTCGACGGGTTGGGCCGGCAACATGACGATTCTCGCCATGCTGATCGTTGGAGGCAACTTTGTGCGCAACGGTGCCATGACCTTGGGAGATCTCACGTCATTCATGATGTACACGGCCTTTGCGGGTTCCAGCCTGTTTGGCCTCTCGTCGTTTTACTCGGAACTGATGAAGGGGGTCGGCGCCGCCAGCCGTCTGTTCGAGCTCCAGGACAGGAAGCCAGGCATCTCGCAGACCGTGGGGCTCAAAGTCCAGTCAGCGCAGGGCCCTATCCGCTTCTCAAACGTATCCTTCGCTTATCCCACGCGCCCGGCCGTCAAGATCTTCAACGACCTCAACTTCGAGATCCCCTCCGGTAGCAACGTCTGTGTCGTGGGGCCCTCTGGCGGAGGGAAGTCAACCGTCGCGGGTCTTTTGTTGCGCTTCTACAACCCTACGTCTGGTTCCATTACCATCAATGGCGTGGACATATCCAAGATGAACATCAAGTCGCTGCGACGTCGCATTGGCATGGTGGCGCAGGAGCCTGTTCTGTTCTCCGGCACTATTGCGGAGAACATATCCTACGGGAAGCCCAACGCCAGCAGAGCCGAGATCGTTGCGGCAGCCCGCAAGGCGAACTGCAACTTCATTAGCGATCTTCCCGCTGGCTTGGACACACAGGTCGGCGCCCGGGGATCGCAGCTGTCTGGCGGTCAAAAGCAGCGCATTGCCATCGCGCGCGCTCTGATCAAGGACCCCGATATTCTCATTCTGGATGAGGCAACGTCCGCATTGGATGCCGAGTCCGAGACTCTTGTCAACGCTGCTCTGGCGTCGCTGCTCAAGGGCAGGAACACGACGATTTCGATTGCACACCGACTGTCGACGATCAAGCGATCCGACCTAATCATTGTCCTCTCCAACGACGGCAGAGTCGCCGAGATTGGCAAATACACCGAGCTCTCGGCCAACCCAGAGAGCGCATTCAGCAAGCTCATGGAGTGGCAGATGAGCGGCGGCGAGATCCCCGAGTCCCGTAGCGACCGAGGCCACATCACCGAAGAGGAAGAGATTGAATCGGACCTTGAACGCGAAGAGGTCGATGAGGAGGATGTCGACGTCGACACTAGTAGCAAAAAGGAGAAGGCTGGCGAGGAGCAGAGGTAAATCGGAGATGCCGGGCTGGCTGGCTGTACTGTTGTTTCCTAGTGTTTTATATCATGCAAAACGGCGCCTGAACGTTCGAGGCGGGTTGCAGCAACGGAGGAACCGTGCTGCTCGGTGCGGCACACGCTGTCAAACCATGTATCACCAGATAGTTATTCACAATTATACAGCATCATAGAACAACCCCACTCGACCTGGAAGGACGTCTGGAGGCTGCTGGACAAGAACCGAGATAAATTAATAAGCCTAAAGGTTTGGTAGCATCGCACTGCTCATGATGTTGGTCACTCCATCAATTCGCCTCAAGCTTGGAAGTTTTAAATTCAACGAAGTCCGGATAGATATTGAGGTCTAGGTAGTACTGCATGAGTATTGCCAATACTGGGGGCGTTGAGCTCCCATGCCGCAAGCGGAGTCCTGTCATGACTGTTGGTCAGTGCCTCCACCACTTGACTACTTGGGGATGGCATTGTCTTGCGTCCCCCACGGCACGTGAAAGTACCCCGACAAGGGAGAGGGTCCCTGAATGCTTTTCATCACAAACCAGAGAGCTCTCACAACAAACACAGCACGACGTCGTGGCTTACTACCCGTAATATTCATCACTCGGGCATCGGAGCCCATCTCACATACTTCTTTTAACCAGATTACATCATGGCGAGCGAGACTGAAGGCACTTTCGAGGTTGAAGGTCAGAAGCTCCACACCAAGACCTACACAGTGAGTTCAACGTCACCTTGACACTACATCGACCCAGTAACTAAGGTCCATCAGCCCCAAGGCCCCATCAAGGCCAAGCTCATCTTTGTTCACGGCTTCAGCGATCACATCGGACGCTATCCGGAGCTTTTCTCTTACCTTGCAGGCCGTGGCATCCAGGTTTTCGCCTGGGACCAGCGTGGATGGGGCCGTAGCGTGACCAAGCCAGCCGAGAGAGGCCTTACGGGGCCAACATCTCGCGTCCTCTCCGATGTTGCCGCCTTCATCCGCGACAAGCTGCCATCGCCGGATGCGCCCGTGTTCGTCTTGGGCCACTCCATGGGCGGCGGCCAGGTCCTCGCCCTCGCCAGCGACCCGCAGTATCAGGAGCTTGTCGGCCAGGTCCGCGGTTGGCTGCTCGAGAGCCCCTTCATCGCCTTCACCCCCGGCGAGGAGCCTAGCTTCCTGAAGGTCTTTTTCGGCAAGCTTGCCAGCCGCCTGCTCCCGACGAAGCAGCTCGTTAATGAGATTCCCGCTGAAAACCTGACGCGGGACAAGGCGGTGCAGCAGAGCATCAAAGATGACGACCTCATGCACAACACCGGTACGCTTGAGGGTCTAGCGGGCATGCTGGAGCGGACGGACGCGCTGGCCCACGGCAAGCTCAGTCTGAGCCCCAACGTCAAGAGCCTTTGGCTAGGCCACGGCACCGAGGACAAGACGACGTGCTTCAATGCCAGTAAGAAATGGTACGGCGCGCAGAGCATCGAAGATTGCACGCACAAGCCGTACGAGGGTGCGTACCATCAGCTGCATGCCGATCTTTGCAAGGAAGAGTTCTTCAAGGACGTCGGAGACTGGATTCTGGAGCGCGCGGGTGACTCGGCGAGGCCCGAATCCAAGTTGTAGGAAACTTGGGTTTGCGAGGGTCATCTAGCCTTTTATGACAGTCGGATTTGCCACCTGGAATTTTACACTTCTCGTCGGTTTGCCTTTACATGGCTACGGCATCTTACAGACTCATGTTCCTTCATATATTGCGTCTAGCGGTGCAGATTGGTTGCCCTCGCATGTGCTGACGTCTGCCCTCATGTTGTTGTCACTGCCATGATAGCCGCAGAGATTCGGGACTTTTGCAACGTTGCCACTATGCTCTTGCAAGTCATCCAACCACGTAACAGAAATCCTCCCATCAAAGACAGCACCCATGCGTAGATACTTGGCCGAGCGTGCTCTGGTATCGCGACGGCAGCTCCTGCCGAGGCTCGTGTGATGAGCTAAGAGGCGACAGAGCGGAAGGAACAGTTGGCTCAAGGACAACTCTTTCGTGGGTAAACGTCAACAGTCGCTTCCGTTCCCCGCAACGCCCACGAAGCATCTGCGTCGACCAAGGTACCGTAGCTTCCCTCGAAACTTCAACAGGTCGTCTTGTTAGCTCGCCACATTCATGTTTATTCTGACTGGTCAGATCTGGATGCAAGCTTCAGGTGGCCAGCAGCGGACGGCCGGTTTCCACTCGCCCTCTATCCTCAAGCGCGTCAACCCCCACGGTCAACCAGGCTCGTCACACTTCCCCGAGGTTTCTGAAGACTTTGCAGGAACAGCTCCTTCGTTCGCCATCTTGTAATCCTCACGCTACCGCCGCCATGGAGCCCGACCTATCCAAAAGTATCACTATGCACCCGTATCCTTTCCACTTCAACACACCTTCGCATCTCGCCAACACGTCTCGAAACTCATCTCGGAGTGTTTCTTCGAATATCAGCAGCGAAGAGGTCCCGGCCAATGCAACTAGTACAGCTTTGGAGACCACCTTTCGTGCCAAGAACAAGACGAACGCGTCAGGGTTAAGGCACACCTCGGATGTCACTGACGTCGAATGCCAGTCTCGTGTGCCCGGGGGAGGCACCGAGCCCGACCCCTACGGTCTATCCCGCGCCTTCAAGACCCCGGAGGGGCTTGCTCAAATCAAAGCCGACACGTCTCAAGTGAGAGAACCACGGCATACCAAGATTGGCCCGTGGCGCCGGAGCAGACAGGTTCAGAAATATTACGAAACCCAGAATGCGGCGATCGAGCGCATGCTCAAGTCCGTCGACGACCATGTTGCCGACGCACGCCAGGAAGCCGGCGACAGCCATCTCCGGTTTAGGATAGCCATATGGGGCTCTTTTGGTACCAGCATTGTCCTAGCAGCCCTCCAGCTGCATGCTGCCATCAAGACGGAATCGTTGTCTCTGATAACCACAACGGCCGATGTCATCTTCGAGCCGTTGAGCTACCTGGCCTTGATCCTATCCGCCCGCACCACCAAGAAGGTCAACCCCCGGCGCTTCCCAGCGGGCAAGTCTCGCCTAGAGACAGTTGGAAACATCATATTCTGCAACTTGATGATGAGGTGAGTGGCAGCACAAAGGACTAGACAATTCTGTCCCTGGGGAGCTGACGATCCGCCGGCTTCTCTTAGTCTCTCGATGGTTATCATCGCCTTTGCCGCCCGCGAACTCAGCGATACTACGTCGGATAGGCATGTTAGGAATCTCAAGTCCGAGGCCGTCATTTCTCTCTGTGTAGCCTTCGGCACCAAGCTGGTTCTGTTCATCTACTGCTTTTCCCTGCGAAACCGATATTCCCAGGTCCGGGTTTTGTGGTCTGACCATCGTAACGCTCTTCTGGTCAACGGCTTCGGAATCCTCACCTCTGTCGGCGGATCACTGCTTAAATGGTGGATTGATCCGGCCGGTGCCATGATACTGTCCATGATAGTGATTATCCTATGGTCGCGCACCGCCATCGCCGAGTTCTTGTTGCTCGTGGGTGTCACAGCCTCGGTCGAGACGCAGCAACTCATCACGTACGTCTGCCTGACTCACTCTGAGGCGATACAGGCCATCAACACGGTGTGCGTTTATCATTCCGGGCCGCGCTTGATTGCAGAGGTTGACATAGTCATGGACCGAAAGAACACTTTGGCCGATGTACACGGCGTCGCCGAAGCACTGCAGGTCAAGCTTGAAAGCTTGCCAGATGTCGAGCGAGCCTATATACACCTTGATTACGAGATGACTCACAAGCGGGACCGCGGACTGAAGAAGGATCTGTAGCATCGTTCAGCTTGAAGACTGCCAAACAGCGTCTGCTGAAACGGGGGCCTGAGATTGGATGAGCCAGATGCTTGATATCAATAGATGATTATGATTATTCCTTGTCGCTGTTTACAGTCTATATTGAAACCCATATATCGTTTGCACCTGTTTATCATCATTCGTTCGATTCTCTCATGCAGAGAACGCTTTATGGACGCCAGGCCAAGGAGCCTGAGCCCCAGATAAAGCAGTGCTGGCCGTAGCTAGCGTTGCAGAAAGCGCACACTTTGATTCTCCCAGATTCTGCGACCGGTTAGCATCGTGACGATCATGCGCGTATGGCTCATGGAGGCAGACCTTTCTCAAGATCCCACAGGCCATTGCTAAGCATCAGGTACGCCTCCCGAGCGTCTGCGGTATCCGGCAACGCGCTGTTTCCCCCGGCCTGGCTGCTGCAGACGCGGGCCAGCTCCGCTCCGGTGGATGCCCTGCCTTCTCCAGCAGCGAGAGTGAGCCAGTGGTGGCAGAGGCAGGCGCCGCGGAAGGTGATGGACGCAAGTTGAAGAATCGTCGACCTCCGGAGGAGTGACGGGAAGAAGGTGGCCAGATCCAGCGGGTCGACCTTGTTCTCGCCCCTGGCGCATAGTTTTAAACCCACCACGAAGTCATTCTGGCGATAGAGGACGGGGGTAGCCTCGCGGTTGATCTGACGGCACGTCTGCAGCACCTCGACGTGAGGCCGCCTGTGAGTCAGCGGCACTGTGCGTGCTGTGGGCCGAGGGGCACGCAGGTAGGCGTTTTGGTGCTCCGGCGGCTCGACTTTTACGCGGAGCTGACGTCGGCTGCTGGACACTATGACGGGCTCTGGGGAGAGGAGGAGGAGCTCGTAGATGTCTAGGCGAAGCTCGTAAGGGAGATCGAGAAGGGTTAGGCGCCGCGGGCTTGGCTCCGAGGCGGCGGCGGGCTGGAGCGGCTACAGACAGGAAGGGGGAATACAGTTAGTCCCGCTCGACTAGACCTTTTTCTTTTTTTTTTTTCCTTTTCAAACGGGAAGCAAGCAGAAGCCACACAAACAAGGCATGCGGGAAATTGAAGGCGGTGCGGTAATGTGCAGATGAGAGAGGACGGGGGTTGCTGGAAGGCCTAGTCCGACATGTCGATATGTATGCCGTACCGGATGGACCCTGGGTGCAGATCGGTGGCACAGGTACTCGGATACATATTCCGCTCGCCGGCATGGCGTACCGGGCGGTAAAGTTGAGTATTTCACAGGGCGGCCTCTCGAACCAAGTCGAAGCGAGGTTGGAGATGCTGCGCGGTGTCGTTATGGTGTGCTTGGCATATGTGTGACGTAGGCAGGGGCGGTCGTGAGATCGGTTTCCCCGGATGATCCACACTCGTGACCAGCAATCTCACTGCTGAGGATATCGTGGGGACTCGACGAGGGCTAACGTGGATGGAGGGTACATGCCCGGCCATGCAGCAGTGGTACGAAGGAGAGTTGCATGGCAATGGAGCAAATGAGGGTGCGACTGCAAAGGGGGGACCACGGCGGGTAAGGTAGATGGAGCAGGACGGTGAAGATCAGGACTCACTAGCTGGGGCTGCAGCTCGAACGAGTGATCGGAGGACATGGCTCCCTCTGGGCCTCTCTGCCTCTGGCTCTGCCTCTGCCTCTGGCTCTGGACAGCTCTGAATGGCCAAGTCTGGATTGTCAATCAAAGGTTGATGATGGACGGATGGATGGGGGCCTCTTCTCCTTTTTGGGGGCAGAGCGGCAGAAGGTGATGGACCCTTGGCCTGGGGTTGTGAGATGGGCGGCACAGAAGGGATGAATGACGATGCAGCAGCAAGTCGGTTCTGGGTTGATGGGCCGGCGGTCGAAACCTGGAACGGATGGGAAAAAGGACGAGGGGAGTGCGGATTTAATCCAGCATTCGGGCCGGCACGGTCTTCATTCCAGCGTCTGTGTTTTCTGGAGGAGGTGAGGCACGGTACTGTCAGCACCTCGGCGCCTTCAGCCCGTCCGCAGGCAAGGCAAAGGCAGACGAGCTCGAGACACGAAGACGGGACGAGTCCTGGCTCACTGTTGTCTTGCTCGAGGTGGCCGCCGAGAGCGGTCTCTCCAACAAAGGGAGACGCGGAGAGGCAGAGGCAGGCTAGCCCACTTGCAGCGGGCATAACTAGCCGCATGGATGCTGGGTTTGAACTCTGCGGGAGCTCCAGCCTCCAGCCTCCAGCCTCCAGCCTCCAGCGTCCCGTCCTGTCCTTCACGTCAGTGGCAGGCAGGACCTGGCGGGAGGATGTGGCGGGTGCGGGGAAGCTTTGGGGAAGACGGTCTGCCACCTCGTCTCAAGTACGAATAACCTGGGCATGGAGCTGTGCACTTTAAGACGCAACGATGGAAGTGACGGTGGGGGTTGGGCCGGCAATAAGACGAGCAGAGCATTGGCAGAGGCAGGGCAGAGCAGAATGCTTTGGCTTCGCCGTTACGACATTGCACTGACTGCAGGTGGATGGCAATGCGCATAGGTTAGGTTAGGTTGGGTTAGGTTGTTGTTGTTGTTATTATTATCGTCCAGCCTGCGGACCTGGGTCCATCTCAGACGGCCCATGCAAAGATAGAACGCTGTTGTGGCTCTTGTAATTCAGTCTAATTCCATTGAATTTTTCTTGTTATACGCGAAGCACCTAGCTTGCTGCATCTTAGCTCTGCTTAGCTCGCCAGGGAGGGATACCTACACGATAGCGGCCGCTTCTCCTCATCTCTCGTCTCCTCACGTGTCTCAACCAGCATGGAATGCCTCCTTATGAGCTTTGCCATTGAGCCCGTCACCTATTGTCGACGAACCACTCTCGTGAAGCAATGACACCCCGTCCTGGGGCCAGAAAACCGCACCAGATGAGGTGTCTTGCACCCTCCACATCCGCGGCGGGCATGGAACCCTGCAAGGCGTCGACGCGGAATCCCGGGAGGTGACGGGTTGTGGAACAGGCACAGGTGCGTCGACGGCCGAGAATCAGCCCCGAACGGTGGAAGAATGGGCAGAGATATTTCTGTCTCTCAATGCCGCAGGTTCGGGAATGAAATGGTAGCACAAATGTCGCGCGGCGTGTTGAAGGGTTTTCAGAGGCATCGGAGGATAAAGGAGGTGCTCCTCGAGCCCGCACAAGGCATCGCTTGAGAAGAAGAAGTGAAGTGGCCACGGCACAGCGCTTGAGGTATGTATGTACGGATACCTTACACCACACCATGCAATCTTCTCTTGGATACCCAGGGTAGGTGAGTAGGCAGGCATGCCATTGGCGTCTGAACAGGGGGAAAAAAGGTGGGAACTTCTCACTCAAGCCGAAGCGTCATTCTGGTGGTCCAGCCAGAGAGAGAGAGAGAGAGAGAGAGAGACCCGGCAGAGTGTTTGATGGAAGTTGGCCACCCACTGGATCAGAGATCAGAGAGCAGAGGCGAAACATCGTCTCAGCTTTGAGGTCCTCGGTGCACTCTTCTCTCCTCATGCATCTGGGTATCATCGAAGAAGAGGCGGTCTGAAATCACCATCATCACCATTTCCGCCGCTGACTTGCTCGACAGTCTCGACAGTATCCATCCGTAACTGCCACCACTACCACCTCATCCTGCCGCAATCTCCTGCCATGCTGCAACGGCCTTGCTAGTGCTGCACTGCTGTTTGCCACGACCCGGCCCACCTCGACCTCTCTGTCCTATCTGGCCCTGCAGCGCTCTGGGGTCTTTCGCCAGCGCCCCTTGTCGCGCATCGTCGCTTTCCTTGCTGGCGATACATGTTCGGTTTTTTTTTATTGTATCACGACTATTATTCGTCGACCAAAGAAGTAGACCTGCCCGAGACTCCTTGCCATTGGTAGTCTCTTCTCTGCGACGTCCACCCGAGGTACGTCCTTTTCTCACGCTACACACTTTTTTTTTTTTTTTTTTTTTTTGCTGTGCGATGATATCTGAAGCTTCTCGCGGGAGAGGGGAAAAAAAAACTCGCATCGTATCGCGACTAACACGTACTCTTCGCTAACGATATATAATTACGGGCCACAGACATATCAACCGACCAGTTCCCGTCCCGCCTGCACGCATGCTCGCTTGCAACGGACGTCAACAAATTCCTCGCCCCTACTCATAATCTCTGGATTTCCTGCTTCTTCGTCTCCTCCTTCCCCTCCCTTCCTCTCCCCGTCCTCGTGCAGCCTCCAAGGATCCTTGGGGCATCACCAACTGAACACGAGCACAGCAAGGTACCCCCGGCTTCCTTGCGTCTTGTGCCCACCTCGGAGCTCTGCTCCCACCTACGAATACTCCACGCCTCCTCTTCTCTCCGCACCGCAAGTGGACTCGACCTGGACCTGGACCTGGACCTTGACCTGGACCCAGAGCGCACGGCACCTATCCCCGCCACACGCTCCCATCAGTGGCCCAACTTCAACTTTTGCCGTGCTACACCACCAATTCTGACGGAGCACTTGTGTTATATTGTCCATGGCCTTTCGCTGACGCCCGCACCTGTCTTTGTCTCGCTCTTTTTTTTGTGTGTCCGTTTGGCTTCGCGTCTGTCTCGGAACGCCTCGTCTTCACAATGGCGGCCCTTCGCGGAGGCGATCAGGTCTATGCAACGGTTCGTGGGGCTCAACCGTCGATGCAAAAACCCCAAAAAAGTAAACAAACAGCTAATCGCCAGCCTTCCATAGCTCCTGTTGAACGACACATACCTTCCAGGTACGCCCAGCCCGCTCAATCCGCTTCCTGTGTCGTTGCTCACACTTTTGGTGCTAGGCGCACTAGTTCTTGCTCATTCTTTGCGCGATGCCGGCACCTCGAGACAGCTCGCCGTCTTGGTCACGCTCGATACCGTCTCCGCTGAGGTCATCACCGAACTCAAGGTGAGCTGAGCTCCCGTGCGAATATCTCCACTCCCGCCACACTCTGAGCTTCCCCGAGCTTCGTGCTAATCACCAGCTGGCTTCCAGGCCGTCTACGACCATGTCATCCCTGTGCCGAGAATACGAAACGACCGACCCGCCAACCTCTACCTCATGAACCGCCCCGACCTGCACTCCGCCTTTACCAAAGTCAACCTGTGGAGACAGACCCAATTCTCCAAGATTGTCTACATTGACGCCGATGTCGTTGCGTACCGGGCTCCCGACGAGCTGTTCGACATCGCCGCGCCCTTTTCTGCGGCGCCCGACATTGGTTGGCCGGACCTCTTCAACACAGGTGTCATGGTGCTCAGCCCCAACATGGGCGACTACTATGCGCTCATGGCCATGGCCGAGCGAGGAATCTCGTTCGACGGCGCCGACCAGGGTTTGTTGAACATGCACTTCAAGAACACGTACAACCGCATCAGCTTCACCTACAACGTCACTCCTTCGGCGCACTACCAATACGTCCCCGCCTACCGCCACTTCCAGTCGAGCATCAACATGGTCCACTTCATTGGTCCCGACAAGCCCTGGTTCAAGGGCCGCCAACCGAGCCAGACCGACTCGCCTTTCGAGGACATGGTCGGCAGGTGGTGGGCCGTCTATGATCGCCACTACAGAGCCACGGTGTGTCCCACAAACCACTTGTCCAGATCAGATGCTGACGGAGGTCAAATTCAGGAGACGAAAGCTGCTGCCCCTCCACAGCATGACAACGTCCCGGAAATTGTACAATACTTCACCAAGGGAGAATTCCAGCCGCAAGTTGCTCATGTAGCATCAACGGGTGAGCATTGTCGCGTCGCGCTGCCTTCCCCCACAGGATGCCCGTGACCATGGCCCCTCCCATCCGCACCAGTATCACGGATCGCTGCCCCGTGACCCTGGTCGAGGACCTCGGTCTGAGATTGCGTATCAGGCTGGCCCCTCGTTACCCCCTTCCAGCGAGTCTTTTCATGTTTCTCCCAGACCGCAAGCTGAGACTTGACCAGAGCAGGTTCCAGCGCACCAGGAGCGAGGTCCATCACCGCCACCTGCGGAGCCGCCGCGAGAGCCAAGCCACCCCCCCGTGCCAGCATGGGATGCTCAGAGGTATGTTTCTCACTGCCCATCTGTGCCAGACCTTGGACTAAGCGGCCTAGACAACCGCCCCCCGCAGACTCGAGGCCGGAGGCTCTCAACTTCCCGTCGCAGGTGTATGAAATGTCTCAGGATACCGCTCCGTTTGTGCCCCCCGAACGATACCCGAGCCCGCCGCGCAACATGTGGTACGAGGTCCCCAAGGAGAAGCCTGCGCCGCCGACGCAGAAGCCGCGACCCATCTTCCCCTGGGAGGTGAACCAGCCCAAACCGACCCGCATCTTTACCGGGGAACTGGCATCGCCATCGGCCGAGGAGCCCTCGAGCACACCAACTGGTGAGAAAACGGAGTCATCCGCATTCCAGGCTCTTGCTGAGCCGTCTCTTATAGGATCATCGACGACTGGCCAAAAGAGCGAGCCCAGCACCCCAGCCACCCCGACCATCAGAGTTGCCACGTCGGATCCTTGGAACGCCTTCACACGTACCAATGCCTGGGACGAAGTGCCCGAGATCGAGCGCTACGTCGAGGGTCTTCAGAAGCATCGTCGTGGGAGGAGCCAAGGGTCGCTGGGCGGCACACCTGTTGCGAAGGTGGCAAAGGAGCACGGGCTCAAGCTCACCGACTTCCCCAGCGTAGTCGACCGACCAAGTCTTCCAGTCACTCCCGCGCCGATTCGCCGGCCAAAGTTCTGGGGCGGTGGCGGCCCTGGTGCCAGCGAAGGTGACGACGAGGAGGAGCTGCCGGCCGCCCATGGCGTGCCGCCGCAGTCTGACTGGGTATGTGTACATGGAATCCGGTGGACCCCCGCAGACTGTCTTTGTGATGTGACTAACGTGCCGCGGATACAAAAGGACCCAGCAGTTCAGCTCCAGAAACTGGCTAAGCAGCAGTCTGAGGCTTTGCTGAAGAAGCTTGGTGGTGAAGGAGGTCCCGAGGGTGTGAGTCGCGAGATCCCAACACGCCCCTTGCCGTTCGGCTCTGAGGGTATTTTTTCACCTACTTATGTTGCGCAGTCATCTGGAGGGGTGGTGCTCAGCCCGCAGCCGGTAAAAGGCGGCGTTGCCTCGAGCATTGTGCGCAATATTGGTGGTGAGACGGATCACTCGACAGCAGCCCGGACCCCCGGCACCGTGTCGTCGTCGTCTGCCATTCCGGAACCGTCTTATCAGGGCCCGGGCGCCGCCTGGGAGAAGGGCGAAGACGTGCCGTTGAGGGAGACGCCCGCACTGCCCACGGAACAGGAGCGCGACGTGCTCGACACATGAGCTGGTGGGTGATGAACCGCGAGCTATCCCGTCTAATGTCTAATCGAGCAGCATTGATCTTGCGTGAAGCGTTGAGCGGTGGTGCGCAGGCGAAGAGCTGCTGGCTGGGCTGTGCTGTACTATAGCAACTGGCATGTTTAGCGACGAGTATAGTGTTGAGACGACTGGGGGGATTGGGCGCAGGAGTAGCGACGGGTACATATTCCATCATGTCCAACCACAGCGGCGCGCGTAGCAGTCATGTCTAATGGACCACGTACCTACCACATCTTTGGGTCAATAGTTGGTCATTCTTGTTGTTTTGCATTAAACATGCGCTAGTATTCCTACAAAAGTGGTATGATTTTTACACCAAGGCCAGATCCGCCCGAACGCCGCTGACTATGCCTACTGTCCCGCATCGTTTACTCATCGTCCTCGGCCTCCTCGACCGTGACAGCTTTGCCCTTGCCCTTGTGCCCGTCCTCCGCACTCTCCTCCCTTGCCGCGGCCGTCTCCGAGCTCCTGCTGGCGGGCTCATCTCGCCTTTCGTCGGCCGAAGACTCGGATGGCGCCGGATTGCCCAGGCCCGACAGCCCGCGGCCGTTGCCAAACAGTTGGTTGGCGCCGCCCCAGTTCGGGAGCACCGGGTTCGGAGCGATGACGGGGGGCGGCTCTGACCGGCCCGTAGACGCGCTGGAGCCGGGCACACTTTCTTGCCGTGGCTCGGGGAAGGTGGCGACAGTCTGTGCAGCCGGGCTGCTCGTCTCCGGAGCTTGCGCTGTGGTGGTTGATTGTTGTGTGGATGCAGGGGCTTCCGAAGTGCTCGTCTCGCCTGATGCAGAGGGTGCCGACTCGGGGAACGGCTGAGGGGCATACGATGCGGCCGTGCCGTCAAGTCGCTGGAGAGGCAGAAGAGACCATCCGGGAGGGATGACGACGCCCTCCGGGAGCTCGGCGCTGCCAGCGGGTATCGCGTTGGAGTGGTTGGGAGCCCCGTGTCTCGTCACGACAGGCCCGTTCACCCGTAGTGTTGGATGGATCGGGACCTGCGTCATTGGCATCGTCGGGAGCGGCAGTTGAGTCGCTCCGATGTTGACGACGGGAGCCGTGCCAGTGTTGGGCAGCATGTTTTGCGCCTGTTCCTGCTGCTGCTGGAGCTGGCGGATGCGGCCCAGCTCCGCCGTGAGAAGCTGGAGCGTCTGTAGCTCTTGGTGCATGTGCTGAAGAGACTGGACCTCACGTTGGATCATTTGCTCGAGGTGCTGAATCTGCCCGCGTATTGCCGACATGTTGTTAGCTCCCGGCGTCTGCGCGGCTGGGGTGAAGGGGCCGGCTGGGGCTCCTTGGCCGAGGGGCGTCGGGATAGCCTCTGGCGGGACGCCCATCTGCTGGGCCAGCTGCTGCATGTTCTCGCCCTGAGCGAACCCGAGGCGGAGCGGACCGAGCTGGAACACCCGGGCGGCACCGTTTCTCGGGGCTTGCTGCGCAGGCTGTCCGCCCGGGGCGGCTGGCGCGTTGTCCGCGGGTGGTTGCTGACCGGCAGGGGCCGCAGGCGCAGCTCCGAGTCCGCCCAGCCCGATTCTGGCGAGAACCGCCTCGCGGTTCTGTGGTGCAGCAGCATTGTTGTTGACGACGACGGGGCTCCTGCAGGTAGGGCAGACTTGTTGACGTTCCAGCCAGCTCTTGAGACACCCGAAATGAAGAATGTGTCCGCACGGGAGCTTCTTGGGGCGCACCCGTTCGACCGCTCCAGCGCTGGGATCCCAGGGGCGCATCTCCTCACGGCAGATGATGCACGTGTCCTCCCGCGACAGCTCTTCCTGCGTGGCATCGGGATACTTGTTCATGTCTTCGACGGCCTTGCGGTAGCGCCACAGAGCAGAGCCCCTCTTGATGACGGAGCGAGCGGTCATGAAGAGGTCACGCATGATGTGGATCGGAAGGCCGTAAAAGGTCAGGAGGATTCCAAAGAACACCAGGTAAATGGCGAGTTTGACGCAGTCTAGAGGGTTAGCGTAATGTCGGCGAAGCGGGAGTCGTCCGGCTTACCAGCAAACAGATCCAGTATCAGAATCCACTGGCCTTTGGCCTCCCACCCCGGAACCTCAATGTCCATCTCGTCAACGTCCTCCTCGCGAGGGAGATCCGTGTCGTCGCCTGCGCCGTTCTCATGCTCTCGCTGGCGAAGCAGCTCCTCGCGCTCCTCGCGGACCTGTCTTCGGCGCTCCTCCAGACGCTGTCTAGTCTGCGTCTTGATAATATTCTGTTCCATCACCGACACCATGTAGCGGATTCCGGTTCGTGCCGAGCACGTCGCCAAGACGGCGAATTCGAAGAGGAACATGACCATCATGTTGGGTCGCGCTTGTTGGATGACCGTGTTGACGGTGTATCGGAGAAGCCATATGTCGTAGACTAAGCTCAGGAGAAGCGAGATGCTGAGTCGGGTGTGGAAGAGGCCGGGGTTCGTGGGCGGTTGCTGCTCGAGGACCTCGACACGTCCGTCGCCAATCCAGCCCCAGACCTTGCCTGTCACCAGTGCGGTGAACATGACGAGGAACCATGCTCCAATCTCCTCGCGAAAGATTGTCATCGCCAGGCATGTTTCCGTGATCGCGAACCACGCCCTTTCTGAAAGCTGCTCAACCTCGACTTGTCGCAGCGGACCGTACAGCAGTCGCTGCAGGCCGTAAATCATGGTGCCGTAAATAAGGTAGATGAAGTTGACCAGGACCTGGACACGTCAGCGGAGCTTCTTCGCGATTGCACGGGACGACGAACCAGCAAGCAAAAGTTACTCTGCGCGAGGTAAACCATGGCCGAGTAAAAGTTCGCTCGTTGGTGGAAGGCCGAGACGACGACCGTGGCCGCCAGGGCCGTGGATACCTATCGAGGGTCAGCACGTTGGTCGTCCGAGAGGCGAAGTTGGAGGCTGGAGCTATGCGAACGAAGCTCGACAGCTCTCCAGCGGCACGAGGGACTTACCCCTGCGTACCACGCGAGCCTCATCTTCGCGTTCGATGGGCTAAAAGCACGGGATTTGTATGTCGAAATGAGGGCGGCCCTCAAGTGCCCATGGTGTTGATGCAAGCCAGAGAGAGTCCCGTTTGCGCTGTTGGCGTGGTGCGTCGGAGCTCGTAGTAGATGCCACGTTAGTGACAAGCATCCATCCATTCAACCGCTGTGGATTACCTGAGCAGTGACGCAGGACACCCCGGCAGGTGCTAGGCTGAGCACGTGATGGTTCGCCAGCAGGCTCGGAACTAGTTTAGGCCGATTCCGATGGAAGGCCCGGGCAATGGATCCGTCCGGGCCGGACCCCCATCCAATGAACACCGGACATCGGCCAGTCGTCTGCCGCACCCCGACATCACCGTCCCCGATCCCGGCACTAAGGTGAGGCATCACGGATCATAGAACCGGGTCTTTCGTTTTCTTCCGGGCTTCCTACTCATGAGCGTGATTGACGGCTGAAGATGGTCCTGGGTTCATGGCTTGCATTTGAATGTTTATCATGACCACCACCATGACATCCGGATTTGCTCCTGTTGTTACCCCAGCACTGATGGCTTCTATAAGATGCCGGCCGCACATCCCCAGGCACTCCTGGTACTTCATCGCAGCAACGACCCTGATGGTTCTCAATCGTCCCGACGAGATCCCCAAAGTCTACAAGCATGTCATGGGACACGGTGTCGGGCCTGGTGATGATATACCCGGAGCAGACGAGCAGCTCATGATGTCGAGAAAGTTGAGAGAGGCCCTCGTAAAAGCATCTGCCGTTGGAGGTCTACCCAAGGTATCCCTGAGAAAGAGGTTGAAGGGGGGCACTCGCTGACGCTGGTCAGGCAATAAACTCGCTCATGGAATTGAAGAAGGTGACACCGGATCACCTCCTAGATGAGCCATGCGACGGTGACTCCAACGCCGTATCGCCCACGGCGCGGCATCGAGATGTCCACGCTACACCCGCGTCAAAGATCATCGAGCGTGGGCAGCAATTCTGGAACAACATTTACGGGAAGATTTCTAGACGGATCCTGAGCCAGCTGGACAGGTCCGGTACGGAGGACCTGGGCCTGACGGCACGGCTAATGTATGGATATATTCTGAGCAACACCAACGTGCTGTCCCCCGTGGAAACGTCATACGTGCTCATTGCCGGGCTCATCCCCCAGGATGTAAGTCAGATGCCGCTGGGTTTAGGACCATCCTGACAACGACAGGTCAACCCACAGCTCAAGGGCCATTTGCGAGGCGCTCTCAACAACGGGGCGACGGCGGACGAGGTGAGGGCTGTGAGAGGCATCGTCATTGAGATCTGCGAAGCCTCGGGTATGAAGCAACTTGGCGAGGATGTGCCAGGCGGCTGGGGATGGCGCAGTGAGGTTGCAACGATTTGACGCTGGACGGTCTTTGGCGAGGCCGGACGTCGAAACGACTGCTCCATTTGGCCAGAGCAGTCCGCCTTGCCAGCAACTCACCCCATGGAAGCCCTGTCAAAGGATCACACACTGCATGTCCCGCACATAGGCTCATGAGGCTCAAGACGCCAAACAGCTTTCCGCGGCGGAAGCTAGTTCCGCAATAAGCGAGGACAGAGACGATTGGCATGGAGGGGGGAGGAGGTGGTCCAGGCCAGGTTATCTGGTCCACCACCACTGGCACCTCAGGGTCTGTGTCATATGTGATATTGTGCTCCCGTGACGATAGACCGTGGTACGATTCAGCAAGAAGCGGCAAGCATGGGTGGTAGTTGCCGGCGCGCATATACGTAGTTTGGTACGGCCGTAGGCAGCTGCATATGGGACTTGTATCGAAGTTGTCTCCGTAGGCGCACCCGTAACGAGCGATAGGACGAACATGGGGAAGACAGGACAGGCCTGCCACGGTCCATGCAGTGCGCCCCTGTCGAGATTGGCGCCGGGTTTCTGAGCCACCAAATGGGTTCGGCCGTGGAGAGCAGCGTCGCAGCGGCAGCCTGACCGAGTAGCGGGGACGCGGTCGGTAGGAGCCCTGTTGGACTGTCGACAATCCATGACGGAGGCAGAACACCACAGCTGAAGGCATCACCACGATCGGCCAATGTCACGGAGTGCGATTAACAATGCGAGGGCGCTCGCGAAGGCACAAAGAGGCATGGGCTCGATGTAACGGCACATCACTAGCTGCAAAGATGCCCCTGCAGCGCGTCTGGCAGACGTCGTTCTGCTTGGCTACCGTCAGGGTGGTGGTGGAGAGAGAAGAAGTGAGGGAGCGGAAGACCAGCCCGCGCCCCAGGCTCCTATCAAAGCTCGGCATAGGTAGGTTGCGAGAAGAAACAATTGACAGCGTTGGCGTGCTGATCTTCCCGGCGGGCAGGGAGCAGGGAAGAGGGTTGTTCATCAGTCCCGTCTGCAAAGGCACTCGTACGAATACAGAAAATGGAAACGGGGGCTGGTGGCGCCACGGGAGGGGTTGCTTCGGGGAGGTGGTCGGCGACCATCTCGCAGCAATTAATCTCGGAAGGCTTGTCGTCCGGGACAGCACCCCTGTGCCATGCACTCACTCAGTGCTCTCTCTCCCCCCAAGAGCCAATGGAAGTTCAGTGACAAGTTCAGTGATCACTCGTCAGCGGTCTTGGAGAACGAACGACGACGACACGAACCAAAAGCCAGCCCAGCCCGACGGCAGCCGCGATTTGCTGATGCCTGTCATTGGGCTGGGCGATGTCGAGCAGCGTAGGTCGGGTCCAGCAAACAAGGGTCCGTTCCTTCTCGACGCCCCCGGATCGTCGCCGTGTGCTGCTGTCTCCCCCCTCCGTGCCCGCAGGACAGAGCAGGACAGCGCTGCCTGGCCGTCCGTCCCGCACTGCGATCCGTCTTTGTCTTCGGTGGTGGATGCAGAGGAAGAAACTATTGATTCCAACTCGTGGCGATCACCACAACGGCCCTCGCCTTCGCCGTCTTCGCTGACCTCTGCTCCAGCAACGGCATCCCGTCGCAGCCGACTGGCCGCTCTACGCTCGCTCGCGACCCTGTCCCCAGTCCAGTGCCTTCCTTGCCTCGGTAAGTGGTATTCTTCTGCCTCATCTGGCATCCGTCGGAATCTGGCAAGCCTGGGCTGTCGGCACCGGGCACCATCTCCGACCTGGCGATATCGCAGGGCCACATCGCAGAGCTAGCCCGACCTTTGCTCAACTCAACCTCCCCCGCCGCGCCTTCGACCCCTGTGCACTCTCGCCACACGTGGTTCTGGGGTCCATCTAGAGCCCTTTGGGCAACTTGAAGCCGTCTGGTGTGGCATTCGTCCAGCTCGAGCCGTCGTCGGGGCGGCGGCGTGGCGTCGCTCGAAACCCGCTGCGCGGGTCAATGAGCTTGTCTATGAGACCCGTTTGTAACTTGTAACCTTGTTTACCCGCCTGCCTTTCTTTCTTGTTCTCTTCCTCCTCAATGGGGCATAACGAGCTAGGGAGCCAGTCGTCTCCTCTTGGCACCTTCACTCTCGCCTTACCCAAAACACCACCGCGCTCTTGGACCGTGGCCTCGCCCCGGGCGCCTTACGCCTCGCACAGGCATAGAAGCCAACATCAGCATTCATACACAACGCACAACGCACACGCCCTAGCTGGACGAGCACCGCATCTTTCAGAGTCTAGGCCCTCGAACGGCATGGCTGCAGGGCCATTGGACACGGAGAGGGTGCGTTGGACTGAACACAAGCTACTGGCCGCAGGGCCGCGCCGCCTTTTTGCTGGGATGACCAGTCCCGCCGGTCTGGATTCTCGTCCCAGCATTTTGGTATGGCAGCCAGTAGCTTACAACGCTGGGATCTCGCATTGTTCTGAACGCCCGCCCGCCCGCGCCCCTCGAGATCTGGTGAACCCTTTCTTCGCGAACGGCGGTAGATTGGCCTACGCCTCCCGCTACCAACTCCCAGCCCCAGACCACGACAAGTGTCGTGAGCTGACGATGGTGCGTGATGTTGCCGAAGCATCACCAGGCGTAAGAGCCCCGCCGCGGCCCTCGAGAGAAGAGACCGACCCCCCACAAAGAACCGCACATGGGGACATCCAAACTGGCTCAAGATGGCATCTTCCGCGCCGCGGTCTCGTGACGAGCCTGCAGAGCTTACTGGCGACTTTTTGCCACATTCTGCTTCTAGCCCTTGCAGCAACGTCAAGTGATGCTCTTTTTGCTAAGGGTCGCGGAAAGACTTGAGCCGGCAGCACAGTTATGCCGCGAGGCTGCAGGGTCGTCTCAAACTTTCGGTGAGATATTGCCCGCGGCGGAGTTTTCTGGGAATTCAGAGGGCTTCCACGCCGTCTGACCATCACGGCGGCTACAGCGCTTGCGCGGTCTGGGCAGCCGTCGTGCTCCAGGACCAGAAGTCGTACTGAAAGACACCCATTTGTCCCTCAGCCCCTCCGAGCACTACGTGGAGAAGGCTGTGGATGCAACTGTCGCATATGCGACCTGGTTGGTTAGGTGATTGACTTGAAGAAAGCACCTGCCACCGGGCCAGCCAAATGACCTGCGCCTCTATGCAGAGGATACATCCAAGGCAGTTTGTAGCAGCCTCGATATCAGCGACCGTTGGAAGACGCGGGTAGGATCGAAGGCGGGCAAGTCCAGCTTATTTGCTAGCAGACCTTAGAGCAACGCCGCCTGCATTGGTTCGGGCTGATCGACGAGCATCAAATTTTGTACACAGGAAGAGTAGCAAATCCAGGAGTACCTGTTGCGCGACTACCAGCATCCCAGAGGGTAAAATGTCGTCTTATCACTGTGTTCAAGGTGCTGTGCACTCAAGTGCGGTTGTGCGAGGAAGCAGAATGCCGATGCTGCGAGGCATCGTCGAGAGGTAGTAGCCTGTAGCAGAGTCCGCGCAGATGATCAGATTGCTCCCGCTCCGTACCCATCCCGGTGGTGCGGTTTCACGGCGCCTTTCTGCACCGCGATGGCGGCCGAGGATACGATGTCAAACCCCCCACACCAATCTGCGACTAGAGTTATGGTGGTGGTGGTGATGAACGCAACAGCTGGGGCGTGCAATTCAACAAGTCGGCCCAGGACAGGAGGCCATGCGAGATGAGCCCCTCAACAACTGGAGTGAAGCCATGGCACCAAATGTCATCTCAATCGGTCTGAGAAGCCGGCCAAGCCCGGCCTCAGGTGAAGCTCAACATCAGTGACCAGGCTACTGAATGGTCGATGTAACGGCGACGTGGTCAAGCCGGTCTGGCCGTCCTCTCGAGGCTCACCGCTGCGAGCGCAGGGAGACAGGAAATTCCGGATAACCTGTCGAGCGCAGTCGATCATGATGTATTGGTTCTGCCTGCGAAATGCGGATGCTTTGGTATCACATCATGCCGTCCGCGCTGAGAGAGGGGGAGAGAAGAAAAAAAAAAAAGGGCATCTGTCTGATATGTCGATCATTATTCAACCCAAACCTCTCCTCTGATGTCGTATCTGATCTACAGAGTTTCCACGGTACAGGGGCAACGGGACAGGGGTATATCCCTGCCGTCAGCTCGCAACTTGCAAATACGCCAAGCCTAGTTGGGAAAGCGTGCATGCTGCAATAGCGGCCGCGGCGAGACAAATCTCCAGCGTCGGCCTATCACGAAGGGTAGAGGGCGCGGACGGACGGCACATCTCAGCGTGCAAACGGGTCGTAGCTGCGAGAACCCAGAGGCCATTGGATTCTCCATCTCTTTCTCCCCCTTGCCTACCTATCACCGGGCCTCCGAAAACAGCGTTGAGTGTTATGTTCTCCCGTTGCGCGGTGGTGTTGAATCTGGAGGCACATAATGGTGGGCAATGAATGAGACGAACGGCGCACGTCATGCCACACACACACACACACACATATCACACACACCATAGCGTATTTGTAGATGGAGGGGGAAAGAAAAAAAAAAGGCAAATGAAACCTAGCCACTGGCCGGCGTTCAGTGTCATCGAAGCCCACTGTTGCAGAAGTACTCTGCAGATGGATCTCTCCTTGGCCGGCCAATGGCGCTTCGTTTCGTTCCTTTCCGTTACCCTTTTTGACTCTCGTTTAGCCTACCCGCAAGAGAGATGATGGCCGGCTGGCTTCTTGCGTGCCTTTGTGCAGGGAATGAGACGTGAAGGCACCTCAACCTCAGCCTGCACCTACGGACACCTGGGTAGGTTCCCACTGTCGAAGAACGGGCATGTCCAAGGTTTTGCTAGCGGTTACCCTGTAGGTAGCGAGGGTTCTAGAGGGGTCCGAACAACCCAAGGCACGGGCAGTGAAGCAGTCCAAACTGTGTCTGGAATGAGTGCCTTGTGGCCCACTAATCTGCCCACGCTTGTCATGCGTGTGTTCGGAGTTTATCTCGTTTGGGGTTAAAGATAGAAACCTTGATTTGACGCGTGTGGGGTCGTCCCTTTCATTG